CTGGTGGCTTCAATCAAGTAGTGTTTATTCAACATAGCAGAGATAATAAAATAAAATCATTGGAAATATACCTGTATTAAATGATTACTGAAATGACTTGAAAGTTAGCTAAGATAAATGTACAATGTATTCACATTAGCTGCTAATGTTGTATTAATGTCTAAATGTATTATTGTTAAGTACTTCAAGGCGGCTTCCTTTGCCGTAGGTTAGGCAGTCCATAGCATGGTGTATCAGTTCCACAGAAGCTCGGTTTACTTTTTAAGTATAATGAAAATAATAATAATAAAATAGTAATAATATTTCCAACAATCACACCAAAATTAGCCTAGCCCCAAAGTAAGCACTGTAAGGCTTGTGTTATGGGATACTAGGGTAACGGATAGAATACATATACTGTACATATATAAGTTTATTTATATAGAAATACATATTAAACATCCATGACTGGAGTACAAATGCTCGTATTCATCACACAAACATCTGCACCCACCGGAACCACCTGAAGTTGGCAACACCATGAAACCCGGGGTACAAACCACTCGGCCACGGAGTTCATCAAAAATAGCAATAAAAATAGTGTCTTATGCCTGATGTAATCTTCGACAAAGTTTTATCTATTTTTAAAAAATTCTGAAAGTAACTATAAAACAACAAGAAACTCTGATGACACTTACAGATGAATATTAGCTGGAAACACAAATATGAAACATGGAATTTTATATCAATTAACAAGAAATTATAATTATAGTTGCAGCATGTATAATTTAACTGTTATCATTATAATCCCATGTTCATCTAAAGTTTAAGTTCCCGGACAAGTTTCTTTTTTAATTACAAAAATGAAGAACATGTTTTTCTATGTTAGGACTGAGCCAATTATAATTAGCACAAGTGCTCCACTACCACTGATGGAACTAAACATTCTTGTCTTATCAGGGTACTCATCAGTGAGTTAGTTTCTCTTTAAAAAACTTTAACTGCTCTTTACAAGTCCTTTAGACCATAGCTATGAAAAAATCAAAAAAATTATTATTTTAAGAGGGAGGGCATAGCACATTTTCTTTCATCTTACCGAAGATCTCAGTGAAATAACACTTCCTTTTGGTAGTGTTTTGTTTCTGTCGGTGAGTAAAGTTCTAGGGCTCGACAGGATAGGGGATAAGGTCAGGGTAGGCAATGGTGCAAGATATATTTTTGGTGTTGCAAGCGTCTACAGGCTATGGTGGGTGCTTACGAAGAAGGCACATAGGCATTTTGCCACCCTTTTAACATTAAAAAAAAACCTTGATCCCTAACTCTAAAACTCAATGCTTGTGGATTCTTATTCTATAGCTATCACAGAGTAAAGTTACAATCATCAACTTTAGTCAAGATTAATTGACTTCATAGAGTGGAGTCGCTAAAGTTTAACATTACCAAAGACAAAGATATTTTCATTATTCATGACAGAATTAAAACTTTCGTATCAAATTTATCTATATGATATTTCAGTGCTATCATAAGATCAAGTAAGCTGTCTCAGGAAAGCCAGCCAATCCGAGCTTGTCTGAGTTGGAATCATCACTCCTACCAAACTGTTAGTACTCCATAGACCATTTGAATGTACCTAATCATTTTCCAAGTAAATACTTTAAAATTCAGAGTTTACAGTAGCAGCTTTATAATCATTAAATTTGAAAAAAATATGTATTTTAAAATATGATTATCTTTCAACCATAAAGGACTTACAGAGGTAGCAATATTTATTATCATTTTAGATAAAAATTATTTTAACACTTCTTCAAAAACTTTTTAGGCTTCAATAGTCTGAGGATAGTGCATGTAGTTATTACTGTACATAAAATTAGTTACACTTTCAGGGGTTATCGAGAAAAGATAGCTTAAATAAGCAATTAAAATCAAATAGAATTATAAAACTCCGCCTAGCACATGGTTATCTTCAAAAGTATGATGTTATTTACCCATCTTATTAAAAAGTTGATGAACAATACAACTTTGATAACACAAACCAACCTAAATATCCCGTATAATATTTTTTTGGGAACAGCTGATTTCAAAATATTGAGATTTAAATAATTAATAATAGGTACTCACCTGCTTTTGTACGGTGTAAAAAATAACACTCAAGTAGTATTAAGTTTAACACAAATATTATTTAGACAGCGTGTAGTATGCGCAGCGGAATGTACTTTATGAATTATATGAATGGAGCGAGGAGCAGTGCCGTGGTATTTGAATTTGAAGTTGCGAACGCAAGGAGAGAGATAGATAAGTAATGTTAGACCGAAATAGCTATAGTATACATCAACCAAACCATGTTGATACTTAGGCTTAATTTTTTTTGGCTAGTATTTAACGGCAAATCAAAAAAAAATACATTTTTTATAAAAATTAATTTCCAATCCTAAGCAAAAATACTTTTGGCACAGCAAAATAGTCACCTTAAAAATATGTTGTTATATTAGTAACAATTTAAGTTCGTGATGCATCGCTATTAATTTAAAACTAAAGCTTTTTTAACAATGCATAGCTAATAATAACCACCTCACAGCAAATTTAATACATCATTTTTTTTTAAACAAACAAAGCTGTCACATTTTTATCTCATACAGCAGTTTACCTAAGTGAAACACCACATAAGACATAAGAATCTAATTAATAAAGTAAAACTTCTTTAGGCACGCTTGACTTGAGGGGGTAAACTGGCGAATATGTTACGATTTCGCGTTACGATTATTGTCATTGGTGACTCATCGGTAAACAATGAATAATACCCGTCACAAAATACATAAATCTAGTGCTTGGTGGGTAATAACGGACTCAGCGCAGATTGGTAGGTGATAGCGGACCCAGTGCGGATTGGCGGATGATAACGGCCCAGCGCGGGTTGGTAGGTGATAACGGACCCAGTGCCGATTGGTGGGTGATAACGGACCCAGCGCGGATTGGTGGGTGATAATGGACCCAGCGTGGATTGATGGGTGATAACGGACCCAGCTCGGATTGCTAGGTGATAACGGATCCAGTACGGATTGGTGGATGATAACTGACCCAGTGTGGATTGGTGGGTGATAACGGACCCAGCGCGGATTGGTGGGTGATAATGGACCCAGCGTGGATTGATGGGTGATAACGGACCCAGCTCGGATTGCTAGGTGATAACGGATCCAGTACGGATTGGTGGATGATAACTGACCCAGTGTGGATTGGTGGGTGATAATGGACCCAATGCGGATTGGAGGGTGATAATGGACGCAGTGCAGAATGGGGGTGGTAACGGACCCAGCGCGGATTGGTGGTTTTTTTTCTATCAACAAATCTTCAGGTTAAGTTTATGATTTTCAGATCATTGTAGCTAAAGAAGTTTCACTTCAGACGTGTGGTCATAAGCACACTCACTTTATTTTTATAACCATCAAAAGTGTCCCAATGTTGAACAAATTTTAAATGCTTAATGGGAAACCTGTTGCAAAAATAGTTGTTTTATTATGAGTGTGAGTATTTTGCGTCGAAACCCTGGTTAATTTTCTATGCAATTGGTATATTTGCTGTGCAATCAGTATATTGGATATGAAAATCATATTTCTGTACAATGAAACAAGTTTTTTGTTACATCAGATTAGATGTATATTTTTGAATTATTTTCAGCACTAGTTTTGTTCAACAAATGTTTTGTTTGCAGTAAAATAATCATTTTAATGTAAAAAGTATTTAATTGCTGTAAATAACTTGATGGGTCAATTTTTTTCATTTACGAATTAATTTGTGATGCGTTAATTATTAAAAAAAAATACTATTTATTTCTATATCGAGAATATTCTCCATATATTATTAAATAGGTCTTCTTACAGAATAATGTTTGAGTATGTTGGAGAACATCTTGATGAAATTGTACCCAACCAAATCGCAGCGTGTGTTCGCATAAATATTTAAGTTTTTGTCGAGATTATTACAGTGGATGCACGGCATCTCATCAAAAGTGCACCTCACTATAATTCAGTTTGCAAATCTGGTCGGTCTTGGGAAAAGTCGAAAACAGATAAGCTGAGAGTGGACATGGTTGAGCGTAATGCGCTATTCAACCCTCCCACCGGTGTCTGAATTATGGTTATGAATCCTTTTGTAGAAGCAATTTCACATCACTATTTGACATTTACTAATCCGTGGTGTTTCTACTTCATCCTGTTTGCGATGACCAGCGATATCTGCCTGCGAGCGACTCAGTTTTCGGTGTAATATTGAGCTGAACAATAAAATTTATTAAACGTGTCTTTTCTGGTTTTCCTCAAGCCCTAACCATCAATTATTCCAACCTTGTCACTTTTAATTACATGAAGAAGTAGGCGTATCTTTTCTCTACTAAAAAGAGCGCTTTCAAGATGGCTCTCACTTTCCGGAATGTGTCTGTAACTCTGTACCAATAACTAAACATCTACAGCTCTTTGAGGAGGATTTGTCATTCAGTCTTAACTTTGGTAACAACAAAAAATCGAAGGATAAGTCTCCGCCAAAAAAGAGGCATTCCCTCCAAGGTCCACAAATATTTTACTCCATCTCAACTGCTTAATCTTTGTTATGCACTAGTTAGCTCCTACTTGGAGTATCGCTCTCACCTTTAGGATAGATCCATTTGGGACAAGCTTGAAACCTTGGAAGCTATTGACAGAAGAGCTAGAAAACTCATAGGCAATGAAATACTCACAACCAAACGCCTATAAACCCTCGAACATCGCCTTCTCGTTGTGTGTTTGACTGTTTTTTACGGGTTACATTTCAGAGAGTGTGCACAAGAACTATGGAAATTTATTTCGGGTGCACCTTTTTACCATCGGACGTCAAGACGTAGACAGGGACTACATCCGGGCATGGTTGACATTCCTCCTCTGCGTACCTCACGATTCGCATCCTCCTTCATCGTGCAGCCCACTTGAGAATGGAATTCCCTTCTTGCCTCATTATTCCCCAATAGTCCCAATACATATCATGTTCAAGATCCCGATCTTTAAGGCTTGCTTGTTCCATTCCAGCTTGAACCTCATCGTTGCTTAATACCAGGTACGATTGTCAAACGTACTCAAATCTTTTTTAAATATAAAAAATGAAATAAAAATTCCTCATCTCAAAATTTGAATTTTGAAACTGTGTTTTCTTTGGTGGGGAGGGCGAAACTCAAACCTCGCAAATCCACTTTATTATTGTTATTCGTGGGCCACTAAAATTCAGTTTTACCCGTTTATCACTGCAGTGGAGTGTGGACTAAGTATTATGTTAGTATGAGCACTGTATACGAAACTCGTTATCAAAAGTCGCTTCGCCGGTCGAATGCGTAGTAACGCACGTGGTTAAACTTCTCGGATGCTGCCTGCTAATCAAAACTTTATAAAAGGCCATCGCAGTACTACGGCATCATCGCGCGATCCTCGCTCTCGCACAGCACATCCTCGATCACAAAAACGGACACCATAATGTCGAACCCAAAAGAAGGTAATTTTTTTTTATTTTAATCCATAATTATAAAACGACCACGTTTGAAAGGTTATGTTGATCTTTCATACATTTTTACTTTTTCCTCTTTATAATTTAAGTTGGGTTATACTTTTATTGCTAGCAGATTTTATTAATAACATTCAATAAAAAAAATAATGTTTCAATAGTTAAAAGAGAAAATATATATGATAAGATTTAAATTAGCTTACCATAATCAGTATTGAAGTTAAAAATTATAAAAATGTTTATGGTGTAATAAAATTGACATAAAGGTGGTTACCGACTATAACATTTTACTAAAAAGTCATTTATTTTCCTTTATTTTGTCAACATAAATGTTGTCAGTACTCCTAGCACGAACCAATATCGAATTGGAATAGCTAAATTCAATGTCGATATGCGTCCAAATGTGAAGATTTTAAATCTTCGTTACGTTCGTTGTGGCCCTATTCATATTTCCATACAATACTTCTTGACATTTAATTGACGCATATAGAGATCTGAATATTGATCAAAATCAACAGATATTCGATTTCGATATTGGTTTGTGCTAAGGGTGTGATGTTGAGGCAAATGACACATCTTAAATTATTTAGGTACCCTAACTGTAAAATAAAGAAAAATTAAGAGGTACCTATTATAAATTTATGTGTGTGTCTTACTATACCCTACATAGCTCGCAAGGTCCCGCACCCACACAAACGCACTTGTCAGTTATTGTAGTCGAAGAAGTTATGGTATTTTGTTTATCGGGGAATATGTCTTTTGTTTGGCAAAAAAGTTTATTAAGTGGTATAAATAATAATAATAATCTTTATTATTTCTTAAAATACATGCATAACCAGTAAAACTACAATACAGTATTTTAAGAAAAAGAGAGAAATACCTTACTAAGTACTATGTTTTAAAACAAAACCATATTTAATCGTTGCGCATACTCGTAACTACTTAAAGATATCATAGCACTTCAACATAATAAAATAAAAGTAACTTGAAGCATCTTAATATGCTATTAACTTTAAAATAACCTACGCGGTACAAAGTATGAAGTTTGGAGATTATGTACTTACGAATTTGGGTTTCTGGTATTAACACTTCACTCACTGTATACGGCACTAGGTATTTTTATAACTATTAAACAATAGCATTGTCATTAAAATACCTAAAATATGATATTTTTTTCTGTTATGCATTTTTTTAAATATTTACCTCCCGTGCTAGTTAAAAACTGTGTTACGGAGAAGTAATTATTCTGAATTAATTCGGCTAAAAACGTATTTATACAATCTTTAATATAATTTAAGCACTTTAAATACTAGAATTTTGTGTTTATGTACACTAAATTCTTACTTTTTTTTTGTTACGGGTAGACAGTTAAGCTTTGCTACACAAAAAAATGGGTACTATTCCAACAGTTTCCACAGTATATTTTAAAAAGACAGATACTTTTTCACTTCGTAATAGTGGCAAACTAAAAAAGGCTAGATACTATTAATAATCCTAAATATACACATTGAAGTCTATATATTTTATTTATTTATATTTTTTTTATAATAATATAAATTAAATAATGATATTAATTACTACATAAATATAATAATAAAGATACGACATTAAATATATATAAATGAATAGTTTAATTTACATAAATATATTATATTTGCATATTTTCCCTCTTTATATGGATATAGTATATAGATTTCAGTTTCTTATATAGATTTATGCTCGCTCGAATAATAACGGTATCTATTCCATTCCAATACCTAAATGGACACATTAAGTTAATAACTCCAATACTGGTGTCGATTCTAGCATGATTCTCTAAACCTAAACTTAAATTTGACAACATTGTATCCTTGTCATTCTCTATACAGAATGAAAAGGAGAGACTGATGTTAAAATTAGTTTTAAGTTTAGAGAATCACGCCAGAATCGACACCACTACCTCACATATACCAATTTAAAACACTCTTTAACTATCTTACAATATCTGTGAGTGCTTCAGTTGCAATATAATCTAGTTTTAAAAGAAATTCTGTTAGCTTTTTCCCGCAATTATATCTAGTTAGGTCAAACAATTTAACTTCTTTGTTAATTCTATTATAGAGTAATGGTCCATGATAGTAATAAAAATGTTTGCCAAAATCTGTTCTGCTCATAGGCACCTTATACAGAGTATCATGTCTTCTTTTTGTCATGTCAATAATAGAAGGCTGACTATGTTGTTTTACTAGAATATATTTAATATATAGTTGTCGTACTGTAAGAACCAAACATTCTTTGTAAATTTTTATCGTAGGGAATCGAAAAGGTTTGAAGTTAAGAACTTTTAGTATGCACCTCTGTGCCCTTTCAATCCCTATCATAATAGTTTTCCTAGCACCCCCCCAAGCACTTATCCCATATGTTAATATTGACTGGCAAAGGGTTAAGTAAACCATTCTACTGGTGTTTGCATCTTTGAGGTTCCTATTTTTTTAAATATCGGTATCAATTTACGAATACGGCTTTTCAGAATATCCATTTGAGGTTTCCAATTTAGATTGCTATCAATTGTTGTACCTAGATATTTGGTGTTATTTGTATAAGTATTGTAAAGCAATTGCAATTTTTCGTTCCACAGTTTTGATTAGAATGGGCCTTTAATTTAAAATCATGAAACGGTTGATTATTATTGTAAATAGAAAATGTCAAATACTTGGTTTTATGTAAATTTAAGGTGAGCAAATTATGTTTAAGCCAATTTGCTACAACTATCATTCCATTTTCAGCAGTGAGGTGTACATCATCCCAACTCGATCCAGAAAATATCACAACGGTGTCGTCTGCAAAAGATATGATTTCCGTAATAGGTAACTGTATATTACTGAAGCTATTGATATAAATCAAAAACAAAGTTGGCCCCAACACTGAACCTTGGGGAACTCCATACTTGACAGGCAGCTTTCCACTGGTCCATGGTCCCAGACTTACGGATTGAGATCTGTCACTAAGATAATTTCTGAACATTTCCAGTGCGATACCTCTAATGCCCGCATCCTCCAGCTTGCATAGCAGCAAGGGGATGGAAACCGTATCAAAGGCTTTGGCCAGATCCAGGAAAACCCCAATACACTTCTTTTTAACATCCAGTGATTTGGCTACGTGTGATATCAGAAAAAAAATAAAGTCTATCAAAAAAGTTATCGAATAGTTTGCCATTGATAATTAGGGCTAGGTACTAAAATTAGGTGTGTCAGTCATGGTTTACATAAATTATTGGAATAAATAAAACTTTTGTAATTTATTGCTTGATTAAAAAGTTGTTCATGTTATTGATTAATGAGAACAAAAACAAAGTAATAAACATAAGCCTTGGGTTATCATTGCAAGCACGCGGTTGTTAGCACTAACTTTCAGATAGTAGATACTAATATTTTGTTTAAGAAAATTTAAGTTCAAGAGTACGAAGAGTTTATTTATAATTTACTCGCGGTCGCCCGCGACTTAGTCCGCGTTAACTTTAGTTTTTTGAAAATCCCACAAGAACCCAAAATTTTCCGCGATAAGAAGTATCCTATGTCTTAATTCAGGTCATAAACTACCTATTTGCGTACCAAATCTCATCTAAATCCGTTAAGTCGTTTTTGCGTGATTGAGTTACGAACACACTAAATTTTCACATTTATAATATTAGTAGGATAGTTTTGCTGTAATAGTTCTATAGATTTGTTAGGATACAATTTAAAGGAGTAGCTTTATTATCACGGAACAGAAAAAGCAAGTCTTTTTTTCTGTTCTGATATAATTATATCTATTCTATTCTATTATACGCTTACAAAATCATCAACATGTATTATTGGAATTTATAACCTATAAGAGATGTAATTTTATTGTTGCACTTGAGTTCACTAAAATACTTTGTACACAAAAAAAATATGGTGATTATTTTTTGTTTATTCTAGTTGGTGGGTATAAACTTGGAAAACTCATTATTGAGGGAAAAACAAAACAAGTTTTCGACTTGCCAAATGAGCCTGGTCTCTGCCTTCTAGTAAACAAGAACAGGATTACAGCGGGAGATGGTGTCAAAGCTCATGATATGGAAGGAAAAGCTGCTATCTCTAATCAGACCAATGCTAAAGTTTTCGAGATTTTGAAATCTGCTGGTGAGTTCATTACTCTATAAGGACTTAGCATGCGCACTTGTAATATCATAGTCTTTTGATCCCATTGCCCCAGTGCTGGGGCCTACCTATGATTGAAATAGGGAGATTGGGCCATCATCCACCACGTGGGCCCCACATTGATTGATGAGTACTAACGACTGCAGATGCAGCTGGGATCAACAGCTTAACATGCCTAACGAAGCACGGAAGAGCTCAAAATATTCATCTTTTGATCACCCATTCAACAACCGACCATTGCGAAAGTTTCTTAACTGCCAAGATCGCAGATCAAACATGCGAACCGACTGCGCCATCGATCTCCTTTTAATAATAATACCTCTTGAAATATATAATACATTAATTTAACAAATATTAGGTAAGGGTAGCGTTTTATTTAATGAAAAGAAAAAAATATTGAAAACTATTTTTTATTACTGATTTACCCATTGTGTTTCCTATATATTTTTGCATAGCAACTAAATTAATTAGTTCGTTTACCGCCTGTACGCAGTGCCTTGTCTAATGCCGATATTTTATATGTATCTAAAATCTATCTTTACATACCACACACATTGCTTCCTACGTCACGTCATGGGTTAATAATGAGATAGCTCCGGATCAGTCACGGCCTAAATAGTATATTTGACCTCTAACTAAATCATAAAAAAAATCTTTAAAGCAAAACTTAAAAAAGCGAAGCAAATCTTAAAAAAAGTAATTATTTCTTTATTTTTTAAAATCCAGATGTTTGCTAAGGTTATTAAATAAGTTATGAAATATGACCAATAATGTCTACAAATTGTTTGTACAATTGTTAATCGGTCATTTACGCCAATGACCTCTTTTATAGACAAATAACGAGAAGGAAAATATTTATGCTGAGGATATCGGGTTATCGTTACGATACCTTCTATCTTGTAAAGTGATGTAACTATTACATCTATTAAACACTTTAATAATTATCATAATATTTTCCAGGTATTAAGACCGCCTTTGTTAAGATGGTGTCATCAACATCATTCGTCTCCAAGAAATGTGATATGGTCCCGATAGAATGGGTTACGCGTCGCTTGGCTACTGGTTCATTCTTAAAGAGAAATCCGGGAGTTCCAGAAGGATTTAGGTTTTCTCCTCCAAAGCAGGAAACATTTTTCAAAGATGATGCTAACCATGATCCCCAGTGGTCTGAAGAACAGATTGTTTCTGCTAAGTTCAACATTAACGGACTTTTGATTGGTATGTTTTGTTGGCATAATCATCTAATGCAATATATAATAACAATATTTGAATTTAATTATCGCATCGTGACACGTAAGAACGATGTAGACTTGTATTAAGATAAGATTTTTAATTATGATCAGAATAGGGGTGATGACGGGGTACAGTAAACGAAATTCTATTTAGTCCGTCAGTTAGATGATCAAAAAATAATGGACACGTATTTTTTTTTTGGGCAATCAACCAAAATATGACAAAGTTATAGCGCGTCAAAGTTTGGGAGTAGGGGCTCGTGACGTCACTTTTGAGTGAATTTTCACTTAAACGTGACGTCATGCGACTTTTCAAATCAATATATCGCTGCAATGTTTATATTATGTGAAAAAAGAAAAAATACGTGTCCAATACTTTTTGATAATCTACCTGATAAACGAAGAAAAAAAAATTAGTCATCATCCCTATTGCAAAGTCGCTGCGCTGCGATCTCAGTCTTAGGATTTTACTGGTACCTTGCCCTAATGTCTAATTAAGTAGGTAAATAATTGAAATTAATTCGCTTAATAGGTCAAGATGAGGTAGACTACATGCGCAAATCCACAATTCTAGTCTTTGAGATATTGGAGAAAGCGTGGGCACTCAGGGACTGTGCTTTGATTGATATGAAGATTGAATTTGGAGTAGATGCCGAAGGTAATATTAGTAAATGATGTGTATTAATATGTTAGTAAATAGAATATTGTAACTAATATGATATATTTCTTCATATAGGTAATATCCTCCTTGCTGATGTAATTGACTCAGATTCATGGAGATTGTGGCCCTCTGGCGATAAGAGGTTGATGGTTGACAAACAGGTACACAAATTACTAATAAAGCACGATTAATGTAAATCAAATTTGTTTATTTATTGAATCGATTTGTTGAATCTATTGGATAAAATTCTGCTTGAATAAAATTAAAAAATACTGATTAGTTAAGTACGTTTATATAATTTGTATTGAAATATGTCGGTCTTTTTTTTATCATTCAGGTTTACAGGAATCTCACCAATGTTACTGCCGCTGACTTAGATACTGTGAAACGCAATTTTGCGTGGGTGAAAGATCAGCTTGATCATTTGAGGCCAACTATCCACCACAAGGTGGTAGTTTTCATGGGGTCTCCTGCAGATCAAGAACATTGTCAAAAGATAGCAAAGGGTAGGTTTTAATATTTTTACCCTCCTTTACTACAAAATTTCAAGATTAAGTTAAGAGTAATTTTTTGACGAGAATTCAACAAATTTCGTGTGGTGTTTGTGGTTAATGTTTATTTTTCTAAATTCAGCTGCTCGTGATCTTGGTTTGGATGTAGACCTTCGCGTTACCTCAGCACACAAAGCTACAGAAGAGACATTGCGCATTATGCAGCAGTATGAAGATACCCATGGCGCTTTGGTGTTTATCGCTGTAGCTGGTAGATCTAATGGCTTGGGGCCTGTACTTTCCGGAAATACTTCCTACCCAGTTATAAACTGTCCACCACCGTCTGATAAACTTGTTCAGGTACACGAAGAAAATCGTACATAGTTATTCAAAAGAAAATATATTGAAACTTAGAAATTATGCGCCCTAATGAATAAAAATATTGGATTTTGTTTTTCAAATTTGAATGTTTATTAAATAATTAATGTGTGCATATAATCTTAAAACTATTGAATGAACTTTCAACTTAATAACTCTTTTGGAGCACTACAAAAATCAATCATAAAGTACCAATTGGTATTTCAGGATATCTGGTCATCACTCTCTGTTCCATCTGGATTGGGCTGTGCTACGGTTATCTACCCGGACAGTGCTGCACTTATGGCTGCTCAAATTATTGGACTCCAAGATTACTTAGTTTGGGCTCGTCTCAGAGTAAAACAGCTGGAAATGGCTGCATCTTTGAGACAAGCTGATAAAAAACTAAGAAACGTCACAGCTTAAAGGGGCTTGATATTTTAATGAACTGAAAACGTATTTTTACATATAGTAGTATAGTACAGTATATTTTAGTTTGTACAGTATTTTTGGCTAGGCGAGAAAAATTATGAATAAAATACTTGTATCTTTCACCATTATAACTGTTATTTTAATTGCATAAGTAATATTAACACATAAATCTATTTTGGTAAGATAAGTTTTATACACGGATATAATCTCAATATGTTGTAACATTCCAACAAATAAAGTGCTATATTTTAATTGTATTGTTTATTCACTAAAAAACCTTTCTGCTTTTCATTTGACTAAAAATGTGTTTCTGCACAGTTATGCCACCAGCCAGACGATGCAAGCAACGATCATAGGTCATCATATAGATTATAGGTATTATTATGTATGATGATAAATCAATTTTCATTATGTACCAGTGTTCATTACTTTTCTGTTATACAATAATATATCCTTTTAGTAACAGTACGACCAAGACACATATTTTGACTAAGGTGATAGTTTATGAAGTTGGGCCTTGTAGAGTTAGAAGCTTGGTATAACGAGATCTAATAACTTTTTGACAGACGGGTCATATTATGGTCTCGTCTTGGCAACATTTTACATAAAAATGTTATGTTAGATGCTATAACTTAGTTTTTAAGGCACATTCTTACTAACATTCTATAGACTGTAAAACATTATCTGAAATCAATTGATTATTATTATTATAACCATACACAATAATATAAAATAGATTAGTTGACCCAGCGAACTTCGCACCGCCATAAAAATAGGGCCAGGTGATAGAAGAGAAAATTTAGGGTTGTAGGGTCAGTTCGCCTGTTCGCGTCCATTTTACGGATCTCCCTTAAAAAATCCTCAATAATAAGTAAACTAACACACCAATCAAACGAAAAGTAATTCCGCTAATACCTTAATATATAAGAGGCACGAACAAATGGTCAAAAGGTAGGTGCGCCAAACAATCCCGTTTAAAAAAAAAATTAGTCTCGGTTATAATTTTTATTATTTTTTAAAGCATGTAACTGCTTGATGTTTAAATCTAAAGAAAATATAACTAGAAAAAATTCCACGCGGACCAGGCAGCAGACGGGACTCGAACCCGCACCCTTCGCAATCCGGGCGAATGCACTGACCAATTATGCTACCGCGGCCCTCACGGACCGCGTCGAAATTCTTTCTAGCTATTCTTAAGCTGCAAGGCAGCGCCATCTCTTCGCATTATAGGTAAACCCACAATGTCAAATGAATACTTTTACAAGTATTAAACATTTGAAAGAAGAAATAGCAATTATAGTTATAATTTTTATTATTTTTTAAAGCATGTAACTGCTTGATGTTTAAATCTAAAGAAAATATAACTAGAAAAAATTCCACGCGGACCAGGCAGCAGACGGGACTCGAACCCGCACCCTTCGCAATCCGGGCGAATGCACTGACCAATTATGCTACCGCGGCCCTCACGGACCGCGTCGAAATTCTTTCTAGCTATTCTTAAGCTGCAAGGCAGCGCCATCTCTTCGCATTATAGGTAAACCCACAATGTCAAATGAATACTTTTACAAGTATTAAACATTTGAAAGAAGAAATAGCAATTATAGTTATAATTTTTATTATTTTTTAAAGCATGTAACTGCTTGATGTTTAAATCTAAAGAAAATATAACTAGAAAAAATTCCACGCGGACCAGGCAGCAGACGGGACTCGAACCCGCACCCTTCGCAATCCGGGCGAATGCACTGACCAATTATGCTACCGCGGCCCTCACGGACCGCGTCGAAATTCTTTCTAGCTATTCTTAAGCTGCAAGGCAGCGCCATCTCTTCGCATTATAGGTAAACCCACAATGTCAAATGAATACTTTTACAAGTATTAAACATTTGAAAGAAGAAATAGCAATTATAGTTATAATTTTTATTATTTTTTAAAGCATGTAACTGCTTGATGTTTAAATCTAAAGAAAATATAACTAGAAAAAATTCCACGCGGACCAGGCAGCAGACGGGACTCGAACCCGCACCCTTCGCAATCCGGGCGAATGCACTGACCAATTATGCTACCGCGGCCCTCACGGACCGCGTCGAAATTCTTTCTAGCTATTCTTAAGCTGCAAGGCAGCGCCATCTCTTCGCATTATAGGTAAACCCACAATGTCAAATGAATACTTTTACAAGTATTAAACATTTGAAAGAAGAAATAGCAATTATAGTTATAATTTTTATTATTTTTTAAAGCATGTAACTGCTTTAAAAAATAATAAAAATTATAACTATAATTGCTATTTCTTCTTTCAAATGTTTAATACTTGTAAAAGTATTCATTTGACATTGTGGGTTTACCTATAATGCGAAGAGATGGCGCTGCCTTGCAGCTTAAGAATAGCTAGAAAGAATTTCGACGCGGTCCGTGAGGGCCGCGGTAGCATAATTGGTCAGTGCATTCGCCCGGATTGCGAAGGGTGCGGGTTCGAGTCCCGTCTGCTGCCTGGTCCGCGTGGAATTTTTTCTAGTTATATTTTCTTTAGATTTAAACATCAAGCAGTTACATGCTTTAAAAAATAATAAAAATTATAACTATAATTGCTATTTCTTCTTTCAAATGTTTAATACTTGTAAAAGTATTTATTTGACATTGTGGGTTTACCTATAATGCGAAGAGATGGCGCTGCCTTGCAGCTTAAGAATAGCTAGAAAGAATTTCGACGCGGTCCGTGAGGGCCGCGGTAGCATAATTGGTCAGTGCATTCGCCCGGATTGCGAAGGGTGCGGGTTCGAGTCCCGTCTGCTGCCTGGTCCGCGTGGAATTTTTTCTAGTTATATTTTCTTTAGATTAAGTCTCGGTTATTCATCAAGGGAGTGCGTACACGGGGGATGTTTAGATAAAAAATAGTGTGCAGCGGCGCGTTTGATGGTAAGATTTTTATTTTTGTATGTTAATTTTAGGATACATAGCTGTTTCTAGACTTTTATAGTGAAGAAAGGAATGATATTAATTATAAATTTTCTTATGTTTTTTATATTTAATAAATAAAATAAGGTGGACGCGAATTACTACATCGAAATTACAAAACTTCCAATTTGCGTCCGCAATGGACGCAAACTAAACCTATAGGGGATAATAATAAACCAAATTGCGTCCACTATTTTCGTTAAATACAATTAATTAATTATAATTTAAAATATAGGTATTGATTATTATTATAATACATTTTTATTAAGACTACGTGTTTTAATGCTATTTTTAAATGAAATGAGTAATTTCAATCAATCAATCAAATACTTTATTTGTTTCATTCTTATTTTTTTTCTATTTGAGATGAGTTCTTCGGAGACAAGAAAGTAGAAGGAAAAGAAAATATACACAGACGACGATTTAATGAAAGCTTTAAATGAAATTCGAGAAAAGAATAAATCGGTAAGACACATAGACATATTGTACAAAATCAGTGGGCGCAGACCAAATGAAGTAAAGAAACCGGGACCAGACACCACTTGATGCTACCCGAAATGTCTAACAAAGCACGAAAAGATAATCAAAGAACTCTAGCAACCATATCTTCTGCTGCATGGAGTAAGTATTAAGAAGATAAAGAGCAGATCAAGAACGAAAAGCAGGAAGCAATACGAAAAAGAAAGTTAGAACGAATAGAGAAACAAGAACAGACTTTAAAACACTCTCAAACGAAAGAAGAAGGTGCATGCACTTCAAGAAGTCACACAGGAAATGGTAAATCAGGAATTTAAGAAAGATTTTTTTCTGAATGTGACGATATACTAATTTCAGATGTAGAAGACGACGATGAGAAAAACATACCTTGTGATTTTAGGGTAAAATTAACAAAACTGATTGCTGTTTATTCTTAAAGATGCAATCATTATTTACCTACTACTTATATAATTTTAAATTCAACCAATATTGAGCAGAATATTTTTTATTTTTTTTAAAGTGATAATAATTTTAATGATAATAATGTTGGTTTTAATATTTATATTCTAAAATAAAGAAATTGTTAAAATAGGTACAATCTTTCTATACAAATTCTTAAAAATATCACCCCTATATTCCTTTTCTAAGGTGGTGGACGCTAAATGGTCCACGGGTGGCCGCAATTTGGATTTTGTGGACGCAAAGTGGGTAAAACGCCTTATTCCGAAGTTTATCTATTTAAATAAAAAACAATAGATGTTTCGAACAAAACTGAAAGTTAATCTTAAAATAGACTATATAATGAACACATTACATAAATTTTTCATAGAAATTAGTGCTGGGATATTTTTATTATCGCCGTCAAACTTTTCAACTGCACTAAATGGACGCGAACAGGCGAACTGACCCTATGTATTTTTTAATACCTCATTATAAAAAAAAAAATATTGTCCAAAAAAAAATTTAGGGGTTTGTAACGTAGTGTTCTATCAATTTCCTGGGATAACATTCCTCCTAACCCTTATTGAGAACACAACGTTACAATATAATATATATACACTTCTGGACACATGTATCTATTGGCCCACCTTAGAGTTTAGGTTTCGATGGCCCCTACCGAAATATGATTGCTAGATTGAACAAAAACTGTTGATGCAGTTTTAAACCTGATACATTTTACCATCTTTTTCGATGGTATTGTTTTAAATTTGAATTCAGAATACCATACGACATGGAGCTACGCCTAACAAGTCGGATATGCGCCTTGTTAAAGGCAATTGATTTTTGAATAAAAAACATGTTTTATCAAATAAAGGTTTAATTTAATAACGCGTGTTGCCTCCATGGGCATCTACCACAGCTCTCATACGATTAGGCATAGAGTTTATCAACCGCTCTATGAAATTTTGAGGGATCATCTTCCATTCCTCTTCTATGGCAGTTTTCAACTCCTGCATCGTCTGGGCAACTGGCTGACGAGCCCTAACACGTCTTTTTAGCTCGTCCCACATGTGCTCAATGGGGTTCATGTCTGGGCTTCTGGCTGGCCAGTCCATAACTGTGATGTTCACATCCCGAAGATATTCCCTGACGATGCCGGCCGCATGGGCTCTTGCATTATCATGCATAAAAAGGAAATTTGGGCCCACATAGTCCGCGTATGGTATCACGTGAGGTTCTAAGCACTCACGAATGTACCTTTCAGCATTTAATGTTGGCAGCCGTGGTCCTGTAACAACCTCAAGTTGAGTTTTGCCGCTCGCGGATATACCGCCCCAGACAGTCCATGAGCCACCGCCATAAGCAACCCTCTCTTCAAAGCAGCATTGTGCGAAACGCTCTCCCTTACGTCGGTAGACCTTCTTTCTTCCATCATTGCCATTTAACACAATTTTAGACTCATCTGAAAAGAGTACACGGCTCCAATCTTGCTGTGTCCAATTTTAATGACTGCGTGGGAAATGAAGGCGCGCTGTTCGGTGGGCTCGCGTTAGTTTGGGCCCATTAGCTGGCTTGTGTCGTACCATATCGCGTTCTTTTAACCTTCTCCGAACAGTTCGAGCGCTCACAGATACTCCGTGGAAGTCGCGATTTTGTTTTTGTACTTATCTCAATGGAGGTAAGGTGACGATTTCTCAAGCTGGTCGTCACGATGAATCGATCCTGCCTTTCAGTTGTGACCCAAGATCGTGGCCTTCCTTGGCGACGAACAAAGCCGCCAGTCTCTAGGTACCTCCGATAAACATTTCGGACCGCAGATCGATTTAAATTAAGTTGAGCACTCACGTTTCTTTGGCTGTGTCCGGCCTGAATAAGTGCCACAGCTTGGGCGGTGACTTCAGGGGAAGTATCAATAGATTATTGATAGAACCTCACCTTAATGTTAAGAATAGGTAATGTTTGTTGCAAAACCAAAGATGTCAATCACTTTTTCAAGAATTAAATACTTGGATTTAATTAAATTAAATTAATTTAACCAATAAAACCAAGTTTTCTTAGTATTCTATTGTTGGATATCAACAAACGGGCTCCAAATTGTCTTTTGTTTCTTTAAATTCTGTGTTCGAAATTCAAAAAAAGACTATTGAATGAAATTGTGAATGTGCCAGGTTCAAAATTGCATAAAAACTTTTTGCTCGAGCTAGGACCAAACGAAACTGAAAATACAAGGTGGGCCAATAGATGTGTCCAGAAGTGTATAAGATATTGATCGATCAGTTATAAGTAGTCCGGTTACTCCGGTTCGTGTAAAAAGCAATAAATAATAAAAATGCACGAACCCTAAAAAGAATTTGTAGCAGAATAAAACAGTATATAGTATATATTAGTCTGCCACTGAGCGTTATATTTTATTATATTTAGTATAAAGCGACCTTGCCCTATGGGTTTTTTATTATTTAAAATTAAATCCTATCGTTCAAGTGTATAAGGTGCCTTTGAATAAGGCATAGTTGCCATATGTAAATAATTGGTCTTGTTGGTTATTATTTTTAGTAATGGGAACTTTGGCTTCTAAATGTCAGTTTCCAGTTTCCTAGGAAGTCGTGGTCGTGTGTTGTGTTACAAAATTTTAGCCATAAATTCTTCGTTTAGGAGTTTGTATACCCACAAAATGGCAGAAAAGCCTCTGGACTACACAAATACCAACGGAGCTGTGAGTAAAACTCCGTTCCTGATCGGAGTCGCTGGAGGGACAGCTAGCGGAAAGGTATGTTGAGCATGCATGACCTTTTCTAAAGAATGTATTGATTTTATGCCTTCCTCTCAATGTTACATAATAAAGCAGTCAAAACAATCAAAACTATTGTTTTAGACGCTATATTGCATCTCATACTATAATATACCAGTTGCATGATGATTTCAACATGTCTCATCACTGTCTCATTATTATAACCTAAAGAGAGTTGAAGAGGCATGATTATAGTATAATTACCTTATTTTGATACTGCAAACTGAATATTCTTTCAGAAATACTGGCAAGAGTGCTAGAATTTTTAATAATTCAGAGATAAATAATTATCCTAAAGATGGATGCAGTTGATCTTACGGAATTTCTATTATATGTACAGTCATTTTATTCAAAACTACAGAGGTTTATAAAACAAGTTTTCCGAACATTGTTCAGACGACGCATCCTAAAAAGGATGTGTTAAGGCAATAAATCAATAATAGCATTGAAATTAGTTTTATTTAATGAGTGGTTGGTGTGCGTGAAAAACCTAAGAAACAAATACAATAAATGTTATTTAAATGCACATATGCTGTCAATTCCTTATGGAGTTAGTAGAATATCAAATTAAAGTTGCATGAGGGATAAAATATACACAAATACATAAACATTACTTTCAATTCCAGATTCTAATGTTCTAGCTATAATAGGGTTTGTAATAAATATACAGTGGAATCTCTATAAATCAAATGTAAAGCGAAATGCAAAAAAAAGAGTTAACGAGTATTCAACTTAACAAAAACTTTGAGATGCATAATATGATGCTGCTGAAACATCAAATTATAGAGGCACAATTTCTCACTAAATTTTTGATTTGTAGAATGAAATTTGAATAAAAATTCAACTTAAGATTTATAGTACCTATATACTTTTTCATATAACTAGTTACATACTTATTAGTGAAATAAACTGTAGGTACTGTAACATGCTATCTACACCATTACTTCAATAAATAAATATTTAAAAGTTTGACATCCTTTACTTGAGGGTTTTCTCTATTTATGTCTTAACCATAAAATAAAAATGTCTTAGAATTTTTTTTTTGGATGGTTTAAGATAATAAATATTAATAATTGTAAAAATAATATTTTCTAAATTTAAGTAACCTTTTGTAATTTGTAGTCTAATTATGCCTGAATTTAATTTTTATGTGTGAGAACACTGAAACATAAGGCGAATCTGGAGTGAGAGCTGGTTACTTTTTTTGATTTGTATGATAGTGAAAAGTCACTTCTGATAAAATGTGGGCTAATTTAGCCTTTTTTCCGAGTTTTGCAAAAATGCTAAAAACGCATTGACTTAAAAGGGGAGCCAATAGCCCTTAAATATAATTACTTTCTTTGTCTTTTTTTTTATTTACTTTAATTTCATAATTTAAATATTTGACGTCATCCAACCTAAAAGTCTTATTAAACTACTCAAAAACTGGCCTTGCGATTAGAGGTTCGATGTTCCCTCAAAGCTATTCTGGACATAACCTGGAGATGTGACCAACTTCTGAGCCCCCGTTGACCTTACACAATAGGGAGTTAATGCACAAAGTTCAGCAACCACCAGCCTGCCGTCACCTCCAGCTTTGTGGCTCAACCATCTCATGATCAGTTAACCTTTCAACTTGAATCTTTTTTTGTACCTTACAGTACACAAAAAATACTATTACTAGCATTTTCCCGCGACTTTGTCTGCATGGACTTAGTGAATCAGATAGTAAATTTTTATCTAATATTCGTTTTCATCTGTCTGCTTACTATTAAAAAATATAAAATTAGTGTTTTGATATTTGAAAACATAAACAACCTGTCAAATTCCGGGTAATTTTAAATTAAAACTGCAGGACATTCCCTGCGAAATACAATGAGAGCATTCCAAGAACTAGTTATTTTGTAAAAATATACATAAATCCTGATGTGGCTCAGACCGGTTTCAGAGCAGAACAGAGAAACTTACAAAAGTATTATGAAAAACCTAAAATGATTGTCTCCAATGGAAGTACAGCCAGCCAGTATGGAAAGCCGAACCAATGTATTTATTCATTGCACATGTACAAAACATAAACAATAGATAAGAAGCCCAGAACCCAAACATTGGATTTTATTGCTATTGTTTCAGAGAATTCCAAGTAAGACATCCTCCTATTTTACTAACAAAGGCTTACAAAGTTTTCTTTTGAATTTCTAGTTATACATGATAAATTCAACCACTTTGGTGTTGCTCAAATATTAACATGAAATGAAGACTGAAATTAAGTTAACTTTTTAACAGTACCAAAGTGAATTTTGCTTTTCCACTGTTGATATGTATTATCAATAATTCCTAGGAAAATGAACGTTTTTTTCCAGTTACAAAGTCTTAATTGTTTGAGATACCGCATATTTAGGGCCAGAAGGGCTTGCCATACTTTTTACGACTTACTGAGGATTTCGACTTAACGAGGTTCGAGTTACAGAGATTTCAATGTATAACTATTAATATCTATAGCAGCCTTTTACGTCGTCCGCTTACGGACTTAGGCTTGTTCCTTATCTTTCTATTTTAGTCTCTCCGTAGCCACTATGCCCAATATTGGGAAGTCTCAGGAACATTTACCTATAAAATAAGCAATGATATTATTTAATAGCTAGTGTGTGAAAGTCAGCTCTGTCTTAGGGTGAATAAAATCTACAATATAAATTATTTTTTGTTCTTTTTAATTCAGCGTTATAATATTAGTATAGTCTCTAGTGCCCTGCGGTTTAGCCCACATAAATTTGAGGAAAAAAGTTAAAATGGGTCACTCTTAAATAAGACATATGTTGATGTGATGTGAAATTTTAAAGGGGAATAATTCCATCATTCATGATTTTTGTGTAACTTTTCCATTTATGCAGCGCACGCAATGGTAGCTCACAAATCAGAAAAATCAGAGTGATTGGTGTACATAATAAAAAAAACATACTGACCGTATTGACACTTCACCTTTTTCGGTTATCTCTTTAAAAGTCAGTAAAAACTTATGCACCTGTATATAATTGTTTGTATAAAAACATTTATAATAATTGAATGGTATTACAAAGTTAATTCTCGCTTTCAGTCAACAGTATGTCAACGGATTATGGAGAAGCTGGGCCAACAGCAGAAGGAGCAAACGGAAAGGCGCGTGGTGTGCATCAGCCAGGACTCTTTCTATCGCACACTCACGCCGGCGGAGAAGCTGCGCGCTGAGCGCGGACAGTTCAACTTCGACCACCCTGACGCTTTCGACGACAGGCGGCTACTGGCTGTGCTGAAAGACATCCTGGCCGGCAAAAAGGTTGAGGTGCCGGAGTACGACTACATCAATAACACGATCAAGTGAGTGATTCATCGTTTGGTCTATTTAACTTGGAACGCCATGACGCGTTAAGTCTTCGGTCCCGAGCATTGATTAATTCACACAAGGCTTTTTTCTGTAGTGGGTTTTGGTAACGAAACACGGCTATGACCCATTCACAAAGTATGGATAGATAGAGCGGATTTTTCTCAAAGTTTCCGTTTTTTTTCTTTTGAAGTGCGTCTGGACTATGATGTGTCCAGGATAACTGATGTGTCCGGGAGTATAGATTAACCTGCATTGTGTTATCTACTGAAGTTATTTCTAATTATATTATTATATTGTACCTATCCAATGCCCCTTCCTATATACTAAATATAATGTTAACTATACAATTTATTGTAACTATATATTTATATTCTAAATGATGTAATGGAAGGTGACTTCAGACGTATCTCTGAAGTCATTTTTCAACTTGACGACTCTGTATATAACAGTACATGGAGAAAAAAACAGCCCTTGCTGAGTTTCTTGCCGGTTCTTCTCAGTACAAGGTCTCCCGCCGTAGTTTTGCGAACCGATGGCGTAGCTTCTTGACCTTCACAAGTGCTTGTAACAGCCTAGACTGAATAAATTTTCATTTCATATGAGATTCTTTAAAGTTATTGCATTCACCCAGCCCGCACCGGTCGCACACCATCTACCCCGCGGACGTGGTGCTGATCGAGGGCATCCTGGTGTTCTACTTCCCGGATGTGCGCGAGTTGTTCCACATGAAGCTGTTCGTCGACACCGACTCAGACACCAGGCTCGCCAGGCGAGGTGAGCATATCTGTAGACTTAGTTCTCCGTTAGTTAAACACAGGTTCGGCCTCACATGGAGTACTGCTCACATCTTTGGGCGGGGGCACCCCAGTACCAGCTTCTCCCTTTGGATCGCATCCAGCGCCAAGCGGCTCGAATCGGCGACGACCAGGACCTTTCCGATCAGCTTGATCCTTTGGCTTTGCGTAGGGATGTAGCTTCGCTCTGCATCTTCTATCGCATTTATCACGGGGAGTGTTCTGAGAATTGTTCGGATTAATTCCAGCTTCTGCATTTCGCCATCGTACATCGCGACAAAAATTTCATCCCCATCATCTTGATGCGTGGCTATCCACAACCGTGCGTTTTTGTCGAAATTTTTTACCACGTACGACAAAACTGTGGAATATATTGTCGCCAGCAGTGTTTCCGGACCAATACGACCCAAAAATCTCCAAAAAAAGAGCGTACTCCTTCCTTAAAGGCCGGCATCGCATTTGTGATACTCCTGGTGTTGCAAGTGTCCATGGGCGACGGTGATCACTTACCATCAGGTGAACCGTCTGCTCGTACCCCTATAACATAAAAAAAAACACTGGCAGAGTGAGGAAAATAGATATCATGCCCTTACGACAATCCTACAGATAGTGTTAAGATTCCGCCTTTGAATTGCCTTTGACGTGGTTTATGGTAAAAATTAAAAAAAATATTTAGTTTAAATTTTGTTAATTATTGATATTACGACGTATATTCGTAAGCCCTCTCCCTACCCCTTAACGTTTTACGTACTTTATGAATAAAGTTTTAACCCTTAAAGGTCCACCAAAAACATATTATTTTTCACTATTCAAATTTTTTTGCCATTGAAGTATATTTTTCTCGACCCACTTGCACTACAGTTTATAAATGATCAAAACCTTTAAAAGTTAGTCAACAACAACAAAGTCATGTTTAATTATAATTAAATTCATCTTTTTTGAATTGATATTGTTAACGACTGTGGTGAAATAGAAGATGGGATAAACTAGATTAAGCTTAAAATTTAATTAAGAATACCGGAGGACCTCGATGTCGCAAGTGGTTAGCGCGTTCGTCTGCGACCGTTGAAGTTGTCGGTGTGGGCTTTCGCAGTGGTCGGTCATTGGACGGGTGACCAAATATTTACTATCTCGAGCTCCTTCGTGCTTCGGAAGGCAGGTTAAGCCGTTGGTCCCGGCTGCATCTGCAGTCGTCAGCACCCACCAATCCGCATTAGGCCCGCGTTGTGGGTCATTGCCCAATCTCCCTATTCCATCCATTGGGAAGGCCTGTGCCCCAGCAGTGGGGATATTAATAGACCGATGATGATGATGATGACTGGTGCAACTGGCCCTTGAGAGTTTGGCTTCTTTTTTTTCACCATAAAACTCTAAACATGTATTTCTAGTGCCCCGCGACATAATGGAGCGAGGCAGAGATCTGGAGCAGGTGCTCAACCAGTACATGAACTTCGTAAAGCCTGCATTCGAGGAGTTCTGTTTGCCTGTGAGTTGCTATTGAATTTTACTTACAGAGCAAGCACGAACTTTTTCAGCTGCGTAACTGTATCGCAAAGTCAAAGTTTCTATGAAAACTAAGGAACGCCCCCTACCGGACGTAAGAACAAACAGGCTCCTTCCATATATAATTTGACGATGACGATACGATTACGGAGCTGTCAAAATTCGTGCTTGGGCAAATTGACTTTGACTTTTCTTGATTAGACAACCAAAATTGACAAATTTTTGCCGATCCAATAAAGAGAACTTTCGGAACTATGATATTATTTATTTGAAAGTAGCGCTAGATATGAACCTTTATGTGTCAGATATACTGACAATGCGATTTTTTTGTGTCTGTGGCTTCTCCGTTTTACACAGAAATATCGCCAATGTCCAGTAGTAAGAGAGACACGAGAAAGACTGCCCCGTAGAATCAGATTATGTTGGTATGAAAAAAATAACCGAATAAACATTCTTCCTTGAGCTTTTCACTTTTCTGAAATCACAAGTCACACACACACACAAAGACGTCACAGGTTAAACAATATTAATTTATATGAGATGGGTAGAGCAAAACAATTATTTATACATGTCAATCAAATTTGAGTGTCTGTTTGTAATATTGAAATAACAGCTTTTTACTACATGCATATGAATATATATACGGTACAGACATCAAAATAATATTTTTTACAATTTTTGCTGTCTGTCTATTTGTTCCGAATAATCTCTGAAATGACTGGACCGATTTTGACGGGACTTTTATTGGCAGGTAGCTGATGTTAGAAAAAAAAAGTTAACGCGGGCGAAGTCGCGGGCGGCCGCTAGTTTTAAAATAAGAATGCTTTTAAAAGTTGGAGTTTGATGTTGTATTTTTCAATATATCTACATAAACACAAAAAGCCAGGTTTGTCAGTCAGACAATACGTATTTGTGTGAATAATCAATAGTAACCATTATTAACCATGACATTTTGTTCACAGACAAAGAAATTTGCCGACGTCATCATTCCACGGGGCGCCGATAATTTTGGTAAGTGTAAATAATCTACCAATTTTATTCTGCAATTTTTTAAACTTCATTTATTTTGATTAGAGAAATATAATTAGTTCGAAAACTACTTGGTTAGCTAACAGTATTCATAAAACTGCACATTGAACTCAAAATTTTCTCTGCTTTCATTGAAAATTCGTCAATACTACAGTAAAAAACAATATTAAGATTCCCACTATGGATGTAAATTCATGATTACGAATCGAATGACACCTCGTCAATGAACATAAAAAATGCTAAAATCATTATCCAAGGGCGTCGCCAAGGGGGGGCAGGGGGGGGCAGCCCCCCCCCCTAGAGACCAATAAATGTAGCTAGCCGCAAAGCGACCAAAGTGCGAGCAACTGACTTCCTTACCTATAATATTGCCCCATTGCCCCCCCCCCCCCCCTTAGTCATAAGCTGGCAACGCCCTTGTCATCCCTTCTTTTTTACTTCGCTTTAGTCGGGTAGTAAAATAGTATTATTTGCTAAACAATCAAGAATATTATACCAGTGATATAAACAGTGTTTATTGAAAGTGACTCACTTCGTTGGAGTAATGCACAAAAAACGCAAGTCAACTAACGCAAGGTCATAGCCACTGCAACGAGGTCGTATTGTGCGATTCAAACTAAGACTTATGCCGTGTTGTTTCATCGATATTCAAATTTGAATAAAGTAAATGCCAAACGTAGGCAAATACATAGCAAATGTGTCAAATTTATACCACGTGAAATACGTTCATACTTAATTTACCATGTGTCAAATTTTTACTAAGTAAATGCCACGTCAAATACGTAGTTTTTTTTTTTTTAATTTATTCATGACCATGGATACAAGTCCTTCAGTCGTATACATAGGTAATACAAAACAATGAAGATTATAAAGATAGAATTTAAAAATAACAATTATAAAAATACGTAGTAAATGTGTCAAGCGTTGACCACTAATGGTAATTTTTTATAGGATTTAACTATATTATTTTTTTTCTATCGATGAAACAACGCGGCCTTAATGACGGTTGTGAAGTTAGCGCAAGTCGTGGAGGATCAGTAAATTAAATTTTAATGCATGCGGGGTTTCGCCGGCTGAAACCTGCGCGTAGTTACGCTCGTTGCTAACTTCACAACCGGCATAAAGTAGAAATCATTGACATAGAGAATGGGCTGAACGTTTCTATCCAGCTGCATAGTAACATTATGCAGATAATTTAAGTGAGACGGAGCGATCGTGCGGCCAATATTTCGTAAAGCTATTGACTGCGCCATCACTTTCTGTCTATTTGTTTGTCGCTAAGCCCATTCTCTATGCTTATCCCACATCTGCGTAACGAAGCTCTGGTACTAAAATGCGCTAAAAATTAGCGTTCGAACTTTGAATTAAGTAAGTACGCCCCTTCAGCTGCACATGCAAATTTATCGTCTCCCACAACATATTTTATGCGTGTCAAAATGCTATCGTGCTAGCGTCTATAAACACGCACTCTGATAATTTATTACGACAGAACTAATTCAAATTTCGAACTCTAACTTTAGCGCAGGTAGCGGCAAACTTCTTGACCAAAACCATAGATAAGTAAACTTACGCAGTAGACGTTTTTGTATGTAAATCTGCTACTGCGCAGGCTTCCTTGTCTATGGTCGTTGCTCAAGAAGTTTATCCCAAAGCCACCCAAAGCTTTGTCGCTCGAGTGTGGGAGATGCAAAGTCTACGGTTTGAATCGCTCTATACTCAACAACTTTATTCGACTAGCACTTCTTGCAGCGGCTATGCTCTTACGTAGCTGCTTGTACGCAGAGTCGTGCGCTCAGAGTCGGTTCTCCGTTGTTGCAGTGGCTATCGACTTGATCGTCCACCACATTTGGGACATAATGTATAAGAAGAAGCCGTTGGCGTGTAGGGCGGTGAATGGCGCGTGTAACGGAACGCACCACGAGGTGGACGAGGGCGGGAGACGCATGTCCGGTTCCTCTGAAGATACACTCAGTCGATAGTAGCGGATTATTCCAGGCCCGCACTGCCTGACTATAGGAATGGGTCCTGATAAGCACTGCGCCATTTGTTAGAATTATATATTGTCGCCGTAGATTTTAATATTTTTTTTTTGGGTTCACTGAACCCCTAAATTAATGAATTTAAATTCTAGTAAAAAACTTGATGTTGTCTTTTAGAAGTAGGAGCAGTATGTTCGAAGTAATAAATAGATTGGTGTAGTAAGTATGTAATATAAATTTTGAAAATTTGAAAAAAAATATTTCACACGTTTTTTCTCCAACTAAAACTTGACTAGGAGGTTTCCACTCTACGGCGACAAAGATGCATCTTAATCAAGAAATGTTTTTAAAAGAGCTCGAGTGAATTATGAAAATATGATCACCGCTCATATTAGAGCCGCTATATCAGGGTATGTCATGTGTTTGCAATTATTTGATCGAGATGCGTCGAATGTGATGGAATAATACATATAACTGTCACAATTCTAATTAATGGCAGTGCTAATCATGAAATACTATGACTTTTGTGATTGACTTGCCATACCTCGCTCGCACAAAATACAAATTGCTACAATGCATCATCAATAATTGCGACTATAAATAGAGTTCCTATAGTGAAATATAAAACATATTTACCTCAAAATAGTGCGATTCAGTTGAATCCAAGGCCGGATTTAGAGGCGTGGAGGCCTTGGGGCAACCGAGGGGCCGAATTGCCCTCCCCCTTAAAATAAAAAAAAATGGGAAGAGGCAGACTCAAATAAGACCACACGCCCTTATCGGGGCGCGCTCGAAAAATACATCGCACGGTCAAATACCGCACGCCCCGATCAGGGCGCGCTACACACGGGACTATAAGCCGTTTTTTGTGATAGTTAGAGTCTACTTTTGTATTAAGAAGTTTAACCATAGATTAACTTGGCGAAATGACCTATCTCTAGAGCCGTAAAGTTTAAATAGCCCGCATGAATACTGCTTATGCGTACCCCAAGCAGTTAAGTTTGGTTATTTTTTATCTCTATTGCGGCCCAGCCCCTCTAGCATGAGCACCGCGATATGACACATAGCTCGTTTTCATCACGCTCAAATGTCAAATTACTAAAGAGTTTGACAGACGCGATAAAAACGTGATATAATGTGTTCTTGCCCTGCCCTAAATCCGGCCCTGGTTGGATCATATATAATTGTTGGAAATTAAGATTTTTATAAAATGGTTGCTAGTTGCTAGTCAATCACAAAAGTTTTATAGTATATGTGTGATTTGATATGAAAGGTTTTATACCTCAACATATTGAAAAATGTAATTGTTTGTATTCGTCAATGTCCCAGTTACGACTTAATATATTGCGCATGTGTGCAAGCATTTAATTCTATTGCCGTATAGTAATTTTAGCGTAGGCGCTGTTATTTTTTAAGTTGAACAGAGGAATACGTTCCTTATTTTTCATTAGGAGTAATTTAGATTAAGTTCTTTATTTTTTTTTAGTTTTTACGTATCTTATGTTTTTATATATTTAAGCATTTAACTGCTAGATGTTTAAATCTAAAGAAAAGTTTTACTTAGAAAAGAAAAATGTTGACATTGTGGGCTACCTACAATGCGAAGAGATGGCGCTGCCTTGCAGCTTAAGGCTAGGAAAATTCCGACGTGGCCATCAGGGCCGTGGTAGCATAATTGGTCAGTGCATTCGCCCGGATTGCGAAGGGTGCGGGGTCGAGTCCCGTCCGCTGCCTGGTCCGCGTGGATTTATTTCTAGTAAAACTTTTCTTTAGATTTTACGTATCTTGTTCAGCAACGGAATGATATGAAATATTAGTTTGTGTTTACTTAAATGTCTACAGTGGTTTTTAAAACCTAATAGTAGTTGAAATATCAAAGATGGTAATTTAGTAAGAATGAAACTTATCGTTTCATATTCACATCTGCGGGTTAAAGTGTTCTTTGCATTTAAGAATGAGTTTTAGTACTACGTGGAAGTTTGAGGTATGCTTTTTAAGGTGATAATTGCCTAAGTATAGTCTTGTTAAAAGAAGGACGCTTTTTAAGCTATAGAGGTCATACGCAAGATAAAAAAAAATCTTCCGTAGGTTTAAATATGACATTCATCAACATCATCAACCTATTAATGTCCCCACTGCAGGGGCCTTCCCTATGGATGGCATAAGGAGATTGGGCCATGACCCATCACGCGGGCCCAGTGCGGATTGGTGGGTGCTAACGACTGCAAATGCAGCCGGGACCAACGGCTCAACGTGCCTTCCGAAGCACGGAGACTTGAGGAGCTTGATGGAGTAAGTTGTTAGTACGTTCGGCTGGGATCGTCAAACTTAAGCAACTTTCGCAGTGGTCGGTCATAGGATGGGTGACCGAAAATTTACTATCTTGAGCTCCTCCGTGCTTCGGAAATATGACATTGCTTGTGACTAATTAGATGACGCTGCAAAAACCAGCAATGATCTATGTTTCGTGTAGTCTGTGCGTCGCCGTCGTAGCTGTCCTTGATACAATTTGAGACCTTATAACTTGGTCTTAAGAGTGAAATTCTTGTTATACTTTCCACTGTTTGGTATCAGTTTCTCTACAACAGTTCACTGGCACGGTAGCGAAAATCAGAATAGCTATTTTTTTTATATAGATGACTCTACCCCACCCGATGTTAAGTGGTGATAAAGTCCAAACGCGAAGATACCTGGTACAGCAGTTACAAACTGCCACTCCAACCATCCTCACCTTGCCGGCCTGAAAAAATGCTTCTTGACGCTCTTAAAGGACCTCAGATTGTAGGAAGGAGGGAACACAACAATTCCTAAGTCTCGCACCAAATTCTTCAGCGTAGTACTAAAATTTGACATTATCGTCCTTATCTCCTTTATGTAAAAGTTTTTTTTAAACTACACATGCGCACACAAGTCGTTGCCCAACGTACAGGTGTCCATATTATATTATATCTTTAAGTATCCTTTACGCGTTTATATATTTACCTTAAGGCTGATGTTTTGAAAAGCGTTTAGCTAGAAATGAGAATTACCTGCTTAATGGGTGTTTGACAGTATGAAATGAGAATGATAGAAGTTCGAAACTACATATAAAGCAAGTATGAATAAATTATTTTTGTTTATCTCTTCAGCGTAAACGACTTGTTGTTGCGAATCCGTAGTAGTGCCAGTCCCCGTAGCATGAGGACCACATTTTACATTATATCGCGTCTAACTGACATTGTTTTTTTTTTGATGACCTCCGTGGCTGAGTGGTTTGTACGCCGGCTTTCATGGTGTCGCCGACTCGAAAGGTCCCGGGTTCGAATCCCGGTGGGGGCAGATGTTTGTGTGATGAATACGAGCATTTGTACTCCAGTCATTGATGTTTAATATGTAGTTCTATATAAATATACATATACAGTAAAACCCGTTTAAGACGATTTCACAGGGACTCAACCAAAAACGCGTATTAAGCGGGAAAGCGTATTATGCGGGATAGGGGAAAAAACGTACTACATATTAATATTTAATATATTCTATTATTATGTCGAATGTAATTATTGAGTTATGTTTAAGAATTATGTACGTTATATAAAATGCAGTGTATTATTATTACGTTATTTAAAATAATCACATAAAGATTTGAGGCACTACCAATTACAAAATTTTCAACATAATTAAACTTTTGCAGTGCGTCTTCGCTTTGATTCAAAGAAGTAACGTAGCGTCTTAAATCATTAACTGCTGATAATGCCTGGGCGTGTGACAAAATCGGAGTTGACTTATCTTCATCTTGACCATTATCACTTAGGGCATCTTCTTGTGTGTTATCAAGAGGTAATATATGTGGTACATGTTCGCGATTTAGGCGTATTAAACGGGATGAGGAATCGTATTAAGCGTTAAGAAATGTATGAAAACATGTCTCAAGTTGCAGGGACTGACGCAGAATGACGTATTATGCAAGAAATCGTATTAAGCGTGAGTGTATTAAACGGGTTCTACTGTATATATACAGTATATGTATTCTATTACCCTAGCATCCCATAACACAAGCCTTACAGTGCTTACTTTGGGGCCAGGTTAATTGCTGCAAGTGTTAAAAAAAAACATAGTAATTTGACAATCGAGCGTGATAAAAACGCGTTGTATATCATATCGCGGAGCTCATGCTAGGGGCGCAGCCCCTCTAGCATGACCATCGAAACGGGATATGATAGAGCGATATATCGACATTAACTGTCAGACTACTGTCAAACTCCACAGTAGTCTGACAGTTAATGCCGATATATCGCTTTATCATATCCCGTTTCGGTGGTCATGTTAGAGGGGCTGGTTTGTGCTGTATTCTTTAGTGTCGCCGCACACGGGCCACCGACCACAACCACAAAACGCCGCCACCGGCATATTTCTTGTAGTTTTCATACATTTTATATGGACTCGCCACACACGGTACGCCGGTGGCCGCCACACGCTACACATCGTCGTTGCTCGCTTCTAGTGGCCCGCACCGGCCACTTAATGCGCTGATACAAAACGCCGCCACACGTCACTCGCGCGATTCCCCACCCCTCTCTCCCTTACCCTAGTCGGCCGCTGTCGCGCGCTTCAGCCACTTTAGTAGCCGCTTCTAGCTTCTCGTGGCGGCGTTTGTGGCTGTGGCGTATGGCCCGTGTGCGGCGGCACTTAAATCGATAATAATCGATGTTATGTGAACTTTTTCGTGTCGTGTGTCACTCTACCTGCGGCATTGAAAAACTGTGTAAGTTACAGTAGTACGATGATTATGGCGATCCCGATATATCGAAAGTTAACATGTTATTAAACGATGACTAAAGTTACACTCAGCTTTAGGCAATAGGGTATTTGACAAGTTTTAGAAAACGATCTCACGTTATTTACTAATGTTTATAGAGTCCATAAAAAGTTTATATACATACTAGTTGTTCCCCGCGATGTTACCTGCGGTATTAGGGATATTTTCCGGCAGTAAAACGTAGCCTATGTGTTAATCCAGGCTG